CGACCAGAGTTAGTGGAGCCTTTCAAAACTCAGTTACAAGCTAAAATTCAGGAGCTTGAACTATGCCCAGAACAAATTTACAACGCAGATGAATCTGGGTTATATTGGAAGCTCCTTCCGGGAAAATCATACGTTTCTAGAATGGAAAAGCAGGCACCGGGAAACAAATCTGAAAAACAGCGCATCATATTTCTGGCGTGTGCGAATGCTACTGGGAAACACAAGGTTAAAATGCTTGTCATTGGAAAAGCCAAAAATCCGCGTGCATTTAGGCATTTTAACTGCCCAGTGGAGTACCGAAGCTCAAAATCAGCCTGGATGACATCAACTTTGTTCCAAAATTGGTTTCACTTTCCATTTGTACCACAGGCAAGTTCACATTTGACTACAAACTAGACACCCTTTAAAAACCCTATTTTTTTTATTACATAGGTGAAAACTTATTTAAAAAATATAGGACTACCTGAAAAGGCGTTACTTTTGCTTGACAATGCACCTTCGCATCCAAACGAGGACACGTTAAGATCCGAAGATGGTTTAATTCGGGTGATGTTTATGCCGCCGAATGTAACTCCTTTGATTCAACCAATGGATCAAAACGCAATAAGAATAACAAAGCTACATTACCGAAATTCTCTCTTGGCAGCTATTTTCTCCGATGATTGCGATTTGATCCAATCATTAAAAAAAAACTAGCTTGAGAGATGCTGTTACATTTCTGGATAGACATTCCACTTAGTGTCTTGAAAAACCAAATGGAAGCTGAAGCTAAAAGTATGGAAAAAGAAGCTGCCGAAATTCTCGAACACTTAAATCCTGAGGTAGTTATGGTTTTGATGTAAATAAAAAACACACGATAACAATAATAAATATTTATTAGGCTACTTTCACAGAAGAAGAAATCAGAGACTGGAATAACGACGACTTAATTGAAGAGGATCATATTGAAGCTATAGAAGAAAGCGATTCCGAAGATGAAGTTGAAGCTACAGGTGGAAATGAACAAGAACGCTTAAGTTCATCCGAAGCCGTAACAATTTTCAACAAAGCTATAGCATGGGCAACTGCTGAAAAAATTAGCCCGAGAAAAGTTAATGTCCTACAATCACTGCGCGAAAAGGCTGTATTGAATGCGGTAGAAAATAAGAAACATCAAACCAAGATCACTGCTTTTTTTTCTAATAATTTGTAAGCAACATTCATATTTGCTAACATTTTTTATTAAATAAACTGGCAATGAACTACAAAACATGAAACCAGAGAATCTCTTTGATTAACTATGCCATAAAAATGGACAGGGTATGAAAACTGCTAAAACGAATACATACAAATATATTAAAAATACCTAACGTTCGAAAACTCGAACATTTCGATAACTCGGACAGGGCTGGTTTTCATTAGTTCGAGTTTTCGCGAGTGCACTGTATATTCAAATATTAGTTAAAATATATATATGTATGTACATTGAGTTTGTATCTTATACTTTTTTAAAATAATAATTTTTGTTTTTTAAATAGGCAATTCACTTGTCACAATCACGTAATTAGGCATAATTTTCCTGTTAACTTTCGAGGTTCATGAACTTGAAGGGTCGTAGTTGCAGAGGCTGATAACGCACAGGATTATAAAATCTATTCGCAATTCTTCATACAACTTTTAATTGAAAGTTAAGCGATGTATAAAAAATATACACGCACAGTGCTTATAAAATATTTGCTATTAAAAATGTTTCATCAGATTTTTGCTGTAAACATTTATTTAACGCTTGTATAGATAAACGTACTGCAAGTATATTTAAAAACATCTGGCAAAACGCAAAAAAGGAAGAGTCCGCAAAAGCAATGCAATCTGATTTTTTTTTTATTTCTCACGTTTTCTTTATAAACACTTGGAAGTACGAGTATCATAGATACATTTTTGCGAATTTGAGTACTGGCATCGATACTTCTTTAGAGTATTCTATATGAGTATTCGATATGAGTATCGATACTTTTCTTAAAAGTTCTATCACTATTCCTACCAGGGTTGTTGTGAATATTCGCATTCGCATTCGCAACCGCGGAGCTTTCGCATTAATTTTAACATTCGTATTCGCTTTCGCATTCGCAATAATCAATGCGGAGCTTTTGCGAATGCTAATGTTTGCGCAAGCACACCAATAAAACGTATATCTGGCAAACAAAATGACAAATTGAAGCAAATATATTTTTTGGTCGTTGGAGTATTTGTGTAACAAAACTGGTCAAATGTCTTATTTATCAACTTTGATAAAAGTGTCTTTAAACATATTATTTCTTAAGCTATATAACCGAGCTAATTATCAATGGGCAGTCATACAAGTTCCCACTTCTACTTGACCTTTGACGTACGGTAAATAGCCCTTTAAATAATATATTCTTTTTTGTTTTCTCTTCTTTAAATACCTTCATTGTTTTCTTTAGTTATTATGATTTTTTTGAACCAATCTTAAAAAAAAACTACTAGACATAAAATAAGAAAGTGTGCACTGTAATTTTAAACCAAATTGTCGCGATCATTTTAAATGGACTCTTTGGGGAATTGATTTTAAGCAAAAACACAGTAATTTTGTTTACTTGTCGGGCAATATTTTTTTCATAGAGAAATACATATGTATATTGGATCCTTGGTTAAAAGCCTTTGTGGTAAAACTGTCCCGCTACGTCTCCCTTCTTTTCTATTCAAAGTCAAAGATTAAGCTCTTACCATAGGGATTTCCAGCAGAAATCTTCAACATTTAGCTATAAGGAGAATCGATGCTGAAATAATTAAAAAGCTATAGGTCTGACTTTTAATTAGGTAAGAATTACGTAGCTATCTGAGATCCTCATCATTCGTGATTCCAATAACTCAAATGCTTTTAAAAAAACGGGGTGCTTTTTTAAAGAAATAACAATATTTTGATCCAATTCGTCTGGCAGCCTGGATTTTGAAAAAAATTATTCCGTTCAAAATTTATTTTCCATATCCACCTTTTTAGCTGGCTATAAGCACAAATTTTTCAAACCAGTCGCAGAAGAAAGTATTAAAAATGAATTACAAAAACTAAAATCGAAAAACGCTTATGACGTTGCAGGTTCCCCATATTCTGAAACAGCCAAAGGAATGAGAATGAAGAATTCTTTTTAAAAAAGGTTTAGAAAAACCTGACTTATCTGGTTTGGCTTATAAGCGCTGTTCAAAACAACGATCTCACCATTATGTTAGATTCTTCAAGTGAAAATGGAAGTCAGGGTCTCGAAACCATCCGTAAGTTAGCAAATTGTTTTCCTACCAACCAACGTTTGAACTGTCTAGATCAAGAGCACATAGCTCGCCTTGCGCGCGATCGGAAGTGACCCTATAGGCAGCATCTGTTACTTACTAAATATATCGAAAAATATAGACCACCCTAATGGAATAGGATTAGCATAAAATTTACTCTAAATTTTGCAAGGGATTTGCTAACATCAGCTGTCGTTTCAAGTCTTATAAATACAAATTGCATGTATCTCATCAACCCAGCTTCATGCATGATACGGAATACATATGTACATCCTTATCTATTAAACAGATCTTTACGGTTATAAAGTGGCATGTGGGCGTCTTCCCTTTTTCACTAAATACACTTTGGGCGAACTTTTCCAACTTTTTTGCATTCAATTTAGTTTTTTAATGTAAAAGTGTGAGTGTGCAAATGCATTATGCATACTTGTACATACATATATAGCAGTCTGTAGGCAAAGAAAATGTTTGTGTGCCAAATTCACCCCATAAAAGTAACGAAATACTAATGGACATTTTATGCCCATTTAAAAGAAAAACAAAACCAAATGCGCCACAGAATAAGCTCAAAGCTTGTAGTTGAAGAAGTTTTGCGAGAAAGAAAAAAATCCCCTTAGCCCCCATTCGAAAGCAGAATAAATGTATAAAAACATTGCATGCAACATTCAAATTGACAAGTTAAGAAGACGTGCCATTTGCATCAAGTTTCGAATGGGCAAAATTGTCGTAAATTCGGCAAAGCAGTAGCAGGCGTAACAACAACAACAACAACAACAACAACAACACCAGCAAGAGCATAATGGCAAGTGGCCAAGAGGTCATCAACATGAGTTAAGAACGAAGAAAACAGCAACAGCCCCATCATCACAAGAATCAGTAGCAGCTAGACTACCACCATCGTCACCACCACCACAACATAATCAGCATACAGTTGCCTACACCCCCATGCGTATTTATTTTTGCTTTCCAACTCAATTCGCATTCGCAGTGACACATCTGCAGACTTGCCTTGCTGCATTTATTTGCTTAGGATATTTGATTTTTTTTTCGTTGGTCAATATGAAGGACACTGGACGTTGGTCGGCGAAAGGGCATTGATCGTCCACCGCAAGCACTGGCGCAGTTGAGCAGTGCACTTGGGTTGCTGTGTGGGTTTTAATGAAGAGGGAAATAAGGATAATCAATAATTTGCAAAGAATATTTCGATTTGAACTCTGGAACGGCGAGCTTGTTAACCTCTTGCAGCAAGTTATCAGTGGCTGATTGAATAAGTAGTCTTTGGTTAAGAAATAAATAAGTCCTGATATAAAATAGATACCCATGTATGTATATTCTCTTACGTATGTGACTACAGATGTATACATTTTCTTATGGACATTATATTGCAATATTTATAAATTTTTACATTTAAATTTTGTTTATTTTCTCAACAGATGCATTCACTGGACACATGCGAAACTCGCCTTCACCTTTGCGGCCTGCATCGGGTAAGTAACCAAAGTTTTGTCTTATTTTTCTCACTATTTTATAAAAACGCACGCGCTTGTGGTAGGCTTGTGTATGTCTTCATACTGTACCCGGCACACATGCATGTACATACTAGGGATGTTAATTTTTTCGCTTTTTACGATCCCGGTATTTTCGGGATGTCGTTATCACAATCTCGGGATCCCGGGATTAGATATTCATTACATTTCAACAACTTAAATCGAAAAAATTGCTTCTATATTGTTTGAGAAGCTCTCCTACCATAAAATAAATAATAAATAAATGGGTTTGAAACCTACTTTTTTATTTAAAGTGGCGTTTTTATTTTTTCTCTCTGACGTCAGGATTTATTTTAAGGAACTTTGTAAATTCAAAGATATGATTAATTCCAAATTAAAATATTCAATGCAATGTAGAATAAAAAACAGGAATATACCAAATGAAAGAGGAAATTTCTTTAGAGTTTAAAAAAATATATAAAATTTGTTGGATTCACAAGGACGAATAGGTAGATAATTTTTAAGGCTAATAAAGTTAGAAGGACGAAATTCGAGGATGTTATGGAGTTTATATAAGTCCTTAACATATAATTTCTCACCAAAAAATATTGCGAAATTTCAAGGATAAAATTTTAAAAGGATATTTTCAATACTTACCAGTCGTTATGCACCAAAAAAATCAACTTGTTTAAATTCTACAGAATTTCGTCTTTAATTTGCTACCCATACTTCTACTTCTGGCCTAGAGACCCATTTCACTGAATTTTTAAATCATTTTTGAATTACTGACGTCAGAGTGAAAAACTAAAAACGCAATTTTACTACATTTGGCGCATGGTTTCGCGAATAGGTATATTGATTTTTGTGTGTAAAATTTACTATCACAAGGTGTTATATGTATAATGAGCTAGACATTTATAAAAAATATTAGTTATTACATAAAAAAACAAAGAAATACAGACAACACTGGTCAAGAAAAGGAGTTTCCATTATTGCCATCAGTGCAAGTTACAAATCCCGAAATTCGCGTTATTATTTGCCAAGAATCCCGGGGTTTTGGGATCTAGGTATATGAGATTTAAATATTTCTGCACAATCATACGCGTGCTCGCCTCGCTACTTTAATCCGTTGCCTCAATTCTTTCAACATGCATCTTCCATCCATCAATTCTCCTTTTCGCTAATTTCCACATACAGCTATCCACGCACGCACCTAAACACACACACACAATCATTCTGGGTACCCGCAACACGACGAGGCTGTCGCTACATATGGACTATTTTAAGGATGTGCGACAAATGCGGCGGCGATCCCTTGCTCACGATGCCACGTACACGTAGCACGTGAATACAAAAATTTATTATCGTTTTGAAGTGAGAAGTTTATTAGAGTTCATTGGAATAACTACCCAATCTACTACAAGCGAGGAGTGGATAGAAGAGGGGGCAAATTCGTTTCGCTTGTGTCGATGTTGCAACTCTCAAATATTTCTCTTTCCAATTTTGAAAAGGATGCAAGGGCACAACGCCGACTCGTGCCAATATCATTCGATTGCATTAGCCACATTCTGTACATACATACATATGTTGGATTGTAAACTCCAAATGCCCAAGAAACTATTACAGAATATGTATGAGTATGTGTGTTTGGGTGAATTTGAAAATAGCACACACTCGTGTCTGGAGCCTGGCACGAGCAGAATTAGTGAAAAGGGAAACATTTGCATTCATTAAATTGAAAATTCGTACGTAATGAGCCATCGATACTAGGGATGGGTAAATTCGATATTCGAAGCTTCGAGATTCGAATTTAAATCGAATTTTAGCTCCAAAATTAGGAATTTTTAAAATGACGAATTTTTAAAACTCGGATAAAAGCTAGAAAAAATTTAATTTCGTCTTTATTTGATAAAACCTAAATAAATTTCAGATGCTTTATAATTACGGTGACCATTCGTACCGATTTTGGCGGACAGTACCGATTTTGAAAAATTGTACCGCTAAATTTTTTTTTAAAAGTCGGGACGTAGAAGTGTTCCGATTTTTCATATTTGTACCGATTAAATCCCAATTTTCAGTGTTTTTTTTATTAATTTAATAAGAGTCTCCCTGTACTCTGGTCCAAAAACAATTT